GAAAAAGGGCACAAACCCATGTATCTGTATATAGAATGAGAAGGTTTTATATTGCTTTAGTTTAGTAATAAGCACTGGAGACCAGAGAAACAAAAATATAGTCTGAGGTAAATATTAGTAATAGGCAACCATTAGTTACATTGCTTACATTTTCAGTATAAGCTCCATGGCAAAATGCAAAGGGCATATAAATTCGTGGAACAGATTAACCGAGACATTTAAGTGGCCTGTAATAACAGCTGTTCACTTCCAGTATTTAAGATCTGAGTTAAGTCAGTTAAGAAAGAAACAAAAGTTATGGAAAATTAGAGTTCTCCTGCAGTCACACTTTAACTGCAATATTCAGAAAACTGGCATAAAAATTTAAGAGTTCTAGGAAAATTCTAAATAGAAAGTATTTTTGATATCCCAGAAAGTTAGATGTCTCTGAAGCAAGCAATAAACAGTACAGGAAAAGTAATCATACACAGATAATACAAAAGATGATACAAAATATCACTTATCAGGCAGCCTACAATTTGACGTTACCAAAACATCAAACCAACTCCACAAAAACCCGACCCCCCAGATACAACTAGTTGGTATCCATAAAAGCATAGGCATGCTACGAGTCTGGAATGCTGGAACAACTTCCTTTAATCAAAGAACTTCTCATAACGGGTGACCCCTTCCAAACTGAAGCCCACTGTTCTTTCTGCTGTCTCAAATCTGCTTCAGACATCACAAATCCTCATCTCCAACAGTTTTGGAAAAATGCTACTGCCCAATTGCAACAAATTAAATAAGCACAAAAGGAAAAAAATCAGATCGTCTCTGAAGTCCCTCTCTACAATGGTCCTAAGGAATTTAAAAGGTAAAATATGACACTGATAAAATGTTAACTTGGTCCTCAAATTAAGGTGTGGTGTAGCTGAGATTAAAAATAAGATTCAGCTTGAGGCAGGCACCAGGAACAGAAAATTTTATTCTAACCAATAAGCATGGCATCAAAAGCCTTATGATAAATAATTCCAGAAACAGTTTTCTTTGCTCTTCTTTCTTAAGGTTTCTTTTGCAATTTTAAAAATCTCAAGAAAACAACAATAAGGAAAGGTTGTTATACCAAGTCTGTTCTCTGCAGGTTGTGGATCATCCAATAAACCAGCTCTTCAGCCCAAGAGGAGCTTATTTTGTTACATTAGTTCTTATACTAAGGAGGAAAATTTAGGGACATACTCAATAATACTGATTTTTACTACATCGTATGTAAAATATATAGAATAATATTTGGAATTAACAGAATTCTTTTCCATTTTAGAACTTGGTATTAGCAGTTTTTATACTCTTTAGATATGTACAAGTCTCTCTGTGTTATACAGTTTGGTTGCTCAAAGTTTAATAGGGTTAAATTGTGGCTTTGACTGTCTTCCTTTGAACTGCCAATATCTAACAGGGGAGCCTTAGCATTTCCACATGACATGCAGATCTTTCCAAATAAAGCAGATTTATGACTGTTTTCTGTCCAACCAATATGTCCTTACCAATATGGTCATGGAGAGAACATGTGAAAGTCTCTTCTACACAGATTACTTTTACTGTTCAAATTTTTGCCCTACTATGCTGGTTTGGGCTGGGATAGTTGATTTTCCTCACAGTAGCTGGTATGGGGGCTGTGTTTTGGATTTGTGCTGAAAACAGTGTTGATAACACAGGGATGTTTTCGTTACTGCTGAGCAGTGCTTACACAGAGTCAAGGCCTTTTCTGTTTCTCACACCACCCCACCAGCGAGGAGGCTGGGGGGGCACAGGAAGCTGGGAGGGGACACAGCCGGGACAGGTGACCCCAACTGACCAAAGGGATATTCCACACTATATGACATCATGCTCAGCATATAAAGCTGGGGGAAGAAGGAAGGGGGGACATTTGGAGTGATGGCGTTTGTCTTCCCAAGTAACCGTTACACGTGAGGGAGCCCTGCTTTCCTGGGGATGGCTGAACACCTGCCTGCCGATGGGAAGCAGTGAATGAATTCCTTGCTTTGCTTTGCTGGCGTGCACGGCTTCTGCTTTGCCTGTTAAACTGTCTTTATCTCAACCCACGAGTTTTCTCACTTGTACCCTTCTGATTCTCTCTCTGATCCCACCAGTGGGGAGTGAGTGGGCAGCTGTGTGGTCCGATTCTCTCCCCCATCCCACTGGGGCGGGGAGTGAGCAAGCAGCTGTGTGGTGCTTAGCTGCTGGCTGGGGTTAAACCACGACACCTACAGAGGACAGTTTGTATAAACTGCTAACATAAGTACAGCTATTGAGAAAGAGCATTTCGGTCACTCTGATCACCATCAGGCATCACACAATAATTTCACTGTGAAGTAATTATGAACAGCAAACAAACCATATTTCTGGTGCGAGTTCAAAACAGCAAAATTAAAGAAAAACACACAACTACTGTCTTGCTAGCTATACTTACTATTCTCAAAAACACTGTATTTCACAAGCTACGCATCACTCTTAATACTGACCCTGAACAATGTCAGGCTTCTATCATCTCTTTAACCACCCTGAATACACTAAACAAAGCACAGACCCCAAAAGCTCTGTCAAAGAATAAACACATATAAATGCAATCATCTTGGTGTGCAAGACAGACGGTAGTATAAAATACATACCGACAGGGACAGAAACAGAAGTGCTGTAAGGTGGTTTAAGTTTTCACTTGCTTCCCGGGAACTGTGGCTGGTGTGCATAGCAATCCTAATTGCTTTAACAACTAAATTCTGTACAGTAAAATTAAATTTGTTTTGCTTCAGCAACTTCCAAAGAACAAAAATGACATTTTCTGGAGGCTGAGGTTTTGCGTTATATTTCAGCGGTGTTTAAAATTCTTTCAATGCTAGAAGTATGATTAGACTTGATAGTTCCCTTTTTAAAATTTATTAAAGCTGCAAATTCTGAATGACTGCAAGGGAGTTCAGCACTCACCTCCAACTGAATTTCATTAGTTTTGGCACAGTTGAGAGTATAAAAGCCCAACCTACCTCTGTAATTATATTATAAACGTACGAAATACGTATTTAACATCAGGCACAGTGCAAAGGATTTATGACCAGCTGAAAGCCATATACTATGACAGACATGGTATATTAAAACATTCATTAAAAACAAGTGGAAGAGGAATTCTAGGTTGCTGAAGTGAATTTAAAGTTAGATTAAAATCACATACAAGATGCTTCCTGATATCTGAATTACTAACAAAATATGACCATAAAATTATGCCAGAGATCTCTACCGTGGCTCACATAACGGTGGGTCTTCTGGTATTTTTACTCAGTAGTTCAGATTTCTAAGGAAGCAAACCTAAGTCATAAAAATCACAAAATAACAAAGTAAAACACTTTAGTAATTCCAACAAATGGAAGCTCAGTGTAGGAAAAAAAAAATCCCGACTTTCCCTGCATCATCTCTCAAGCATCATTTGTTTCTTCAACAGTATTTCAGTGAACCTGCAAGATTGAGAAACTTGGAAGCCAATTACATAACGGAAAACACAACACAAACCATGCTGCACAGCATAAAATTAACCACTAGCTGATGAAAGTTAAAGATTGGAGTTTATGGTAGAAAATACTTCACAGATATCTCCTATGGCGCTTAATAGTACCTGAAATACCTGGTACAGACTGGAGCATCCTGATGTTTTTCAAAAGCAAGTTACAAAGTCTATGACAACTTGATACTATTTTTCTTAATTTAAAAAATTCTGTAATAGAAAAAAAGAATTCTCTTTACTCTAGCTTTGCAACACATTCAAGACTGCAACTTCTGGCATGGTTTGTTTGGGTTTTTTAGTCTACAATATTTTACATGATTTCCTCTAATTAGATGCTTTAGCATAGTCTTGGTATTGGAAGAAAACTCTTCCTTTAATATCCAGCTGACTCTTATTTCTAATAATTTCAGACCAGAGTTCATTATAAAACCTGTCAAGCACAGTAACTGAGTTCAACATGTGTATTTCGAAGTGCTTTCAGACATGCCAAGAGGTTTTAACATTCCATGCTCACTTAAATGTGCAAGATATGTGGATCAACAGCAAAAAGGGCTAAACCCTTAAAAGGAAAGTGATTTTCATTGTTAGTGCTTTCTAAGTTACTTTCGTACAAGAGGAGTAACAATGTTGATTTGCAACATTAAAGAACAGAGAAACTGATGAAACTGAAAATTCAGATGCTACGGTTAGATTCCAGTTTTATAAATTGTATAAACAAATTGCTGGACATGCAGACATGGGAAATTGTAAGCACATTTTTGAATCGCATCGGTATTACATTTAAGAACTGTGGTCTATTTAAGACACATTTCATTTTATTAGGCTTGTTTATCTGTTGATGCAGTGGCAACAATCAAAAAAGTCACAGCTCAAGAACCGGCCAGTCTACGCTATCAACTTCAAAAGATACAGGGCTACTACCCACAGAACAGATATGAACAAAGTGTTTTCCACGATAAACATGGACCAATAAGAGAGTACATCACATCAATCAACAGCTACGTCACTCGGACCTCTCCTCAGCAACTGCACCTTTGCAGTAAAATACATGCGAGATACCTTTGCAATTTCTGTGCACAAACTATATGAAATTACGACACACACAGAGTATATATCATAATTTCATTGTGTATTTGCACACGACAAACAAGAGAGTGGATTTTAACCTGTTTCACTGCAGAAGCATAAATTGCTTTCCAGGGTATGTCCAAAGATTGCTTTATATAAATATCCAGTGTAATAAAACACTCCGTTCTTGTTTCAGTCACTGTTGTAACTTTTAGTCACGTCAGACTACTAGATATATTTCTAAAAGAGGCCATGTTTAATTTAATTACCCAGTGTGATAGA